GATGACTCCCACTTCCCTATACTTGTCGTACTTCATAAATCCGGTTTGCGGTCTTTATTTGTATTTGCTCCCATTTCTCTTTTTTGTTCTTCTTACGAGAATTTAATGGACTTTACTTTCATTCTTTTGCTGGTGGAGTAGAGCGAAATTAATTAAAACAAATAATATTTTAAAAAAAAAGTATTAAAAAAGCTTCCGAATTTCTTTTTTACGCAAGAGAGAAAACCGCAGGAAAACAAACAACACAACAAAGTATTTAAACGGTAATACCAATGTAAATTTTGCCTTGCCTTTTTTTTCCTTTTTTATTAGCTTAGCAGATTCTTTGAACCTTCTGGAATAGGTGCAAAAAAAAAGGCATTTTTTTTAACTTGTTTTCCCAAGCACTCCAAAAATAAGTTGTCCGTTCTATGTCTTCTAATGCATTAAGAGGCATTTTTAGAAAATGGCTTTGGAACTGTTTCCAAACAGATATAGATTAGTGCAGCTTTATTGAAACGAGTAAATTGAATGGATTGAGTGCTTCTATCAGCAAATTGAAAGTTTGCCATGCAACATTTGATATAAGTTCGCCTATCTCCTCTTCATAAAGTGTAGAATGTGCGATTTTCTCTTTGATAGGTGGAGAGGTTTATTTTTGGATAAAAAATCTTTGACGGTAGAGCCATTCAATGGTTCTAGAATTGCAGCTTGATAGAAAAGAGGCGCAAAATTTATTGTAATAAAATAGCACGTCTGTAACGCGTTTCAAAACTTTAAAAGCACTTTCCCCGAAACACGATTTTTAAAACAATCTGCAACGTAGCACTCGTTCATTCGCTTTCATTTGTTTCTCATTCGAATTTTCGATAAGGTAATCTAAACGCTTTACATTAATAAACTATCGATTATTATATGGTTAAAAGTTCATCATTTTTAATCAAATACACGTAAATCACACAAAAATCGATTTTTTAAAAAACTGGTTGCATACTTCACTAGCTGTAGGCATTATTTGGGATTAATTGTTTTTTTTCAGATGTGCTTAACTTCAAGATACCCCTCGAGAAAAACTTGATTGTTGTCATTTTTAATATTTTCAAAAATTACTAATCCTTTTCTTTTTTAATACATAATAACCTGCTCGAATATTATTGTTCTTCCACCTGCCTTCCACCTCAAAAGAATTCCCAAAAATACGCTTTTTTTGAAGTTTCTACAGTGATATCACCCATTAAGCCAAATCTTTTCGCACCAAACGTCATTGCAAAGAATGCGATATGAAAATTGCAAAGAATGCGATTCTGGAAATTTCCTGGAATTTCGCAGCTCGCAATTAGGATGTAAAAAGCGGGCTCAATCAATATTTCAGGTCGTCGAACATGAAGTGTGTAGAAGAACTTTACCGATTTGAATCAAATAAGTTGAAATTGTTTGTTTGTTAGCTCAAAAGTACGCACAAGCGCGTAAGCCGTAAGTGCGTAAGCATTCTGGGATAGGTTAGGCACAACGAAGACTTTTTCTTCGCTATTATTGATCTTTGATCCAGACCAACCGCTTGGCCCATACTGTAGCGACCCTAATTTATGCCGTCTGCTGTGTAATGCCATTATAGTCAAATATCCTAATAACATGTCGACCGAATAGTGCGAATTCGGATCGTTTCATTTTCGATACAATTTTTAAAGTTTTCAGAACTTGCAATATTCTCTTCAAACAGACGTAGCTTTCCAACGAAAAAAAGAAAAAATATTGAGTCAACGTTAAAAATTTTGTTTTTTTTTTTTATTTTGACCAATCGCTTAGGAGACGACTCTTAATTCATATTGTTACGAAAATCTCAAACCCAGTTAATTCCAGCTAAGAAATTTTTCCTATTAATAAATTGCCTTAAGAAGGAAAAACCAAATGCACATCCGCGGGCGCGTCATGCAGCCGCAGGCCGATGAAAACGATTAGCGGGAAATGCAGCCAGAGATTATATATAAGAACAATGAATTTGGATGGAATAACATGCTTGTAGAAATGTATATAATTAGAATATTTGTGGAAGGGAGAATTGGTCTGGCAAGAATATTTGAGTTGAGAGTACGGCCAAGGTAAATTGTGAATAGTCCTACTGTTAAGGAATGTAATTGTAAATAAACAGGCTTTGAAGTGTATTTCTCTTGAACAAAATATCCACGGCCCAGTGATGCAGGATGTATCTTAGAAAAGCGAATTTCATAACAGTATCATACGATAATGGCCAGAAGGAGGTGATGAAAAAGGCAGAGATGAGGAGACGTTGATGACCGTAGCGTTGTGCGTTTAGGTCAAATTATTAAGTTTTACGCTTTTATCGAGCGAGCACTGAAAGTAAGCACTACCGCACTTGAAATTTGGACCCACCAACTCTGAATGTGCATCCGTGATTCTAATCTACTCATTAATTATTTAATTATAAATTTCGTCCTTGCCAACCTAATACATCAAGTTAATGGTACATGTTTATAATTTGTGCAATCTAAAGTTTTCCTCAACCTTCCTTGAGAGCTTCCTAAAGATTAGCAACCGATCTGAATTTTCTTGTTAAAGCATCATCAAAGGAAAAGGCGCTTGTCACGGGAGATCCATTTAAAAACTTTTAAGTTTGTGACAGTTTGCCATGTCATTATTGCTTCTTCTGGCACTTACTTCGCCTTTTTTAAGGGAGAATGGCCGAGAAAGAAGGATGGGCTTTAAATGCTGCATGATATTTCCGGCCGATGAAAGCAACTAAATGACGCAATCTGAAGGTAGATATAATTTCTAACAGCCTCAAATTTATTTAAATTTCTGCATTAAAATATTTAACATTATTATCTGCCATACGATCAAGAGTGTACATTTTCCAACATGCTTCTTATGTCTTTGTTGAAGTGGTCTAATAAACCGAAATGCACTCTATTACACACAATTACAATTATTTATGTGATGATGCCAATCCGTACAAAAACATGATTTAATATACCGCACCCGATATGCGATACATACATCATACGATGCTTTACAAATTTTCGCTTTATTTTGCAATCAAATGCATTTGCGTTTGTGCGCACGTATATTAGTGTCGCCATAGACGACGTCATCATTTATCGAATCCTGTATGTAACGCAAGCCACTGGCAAGAGTTGAAAAATTCGACTAACAGTAACCATGAATTTTCTTTGATTTTATTAAGTTGAAGAGAAAATAATATAGGTGCGGACAGCACAATGTTTTATGATCAGCTCTGGATTTGTTCTTGTTATTTATATTATAAGTTTTCAGTGTTTATCCAGATTTCGTCGTATGTTTGTAATTGTTCACTTGCGTTGCAGACGCAAAATAATCACAAGTTCCCCATGAAGCGGACTTATTCAGAGATAAAAAATAAGCAAAATAAATTATTATATTACGCTAGAACAGATAATATTACCTATAAACGAAAGAACTTTCCAATCCATACCAATCCTTACTCTCACTCGCTGAAATGTATTTTAGAGATCAAACATTTCTATGAAATGATTTTATCTTCGGCAGTAGAACAATTTGTTTTATTTACCTGTCTGCTGTCATGTGGCTTTAAGTCATTTCAAGCATATAAGAGGAGAATTACTTATATTCAGGTCAAGTTACACTTACACAAGTACTATGTATAGTAATTTGTTATATCTTGCTTTCAAATGAACTTAAGTGCACTGCATACAACCGAAGCTCCATTCTACATGTCTTCTTTTAAATCTTTCAATTGTTTTTTTTTTCTTTTTCCATAATTAATAATCAATCATAATCTGGTAGTGCACTCTAATAACTGTATGTAGTTTCATGAATTTGCTACAGTCTCTCTAGAATGAAAGATTAATATATGAAAGTGAATTCATTTGTACAAAACTATATGTGTGGCCAGTAATGGCAGAACTAAAAAAATGTGCTCTCCTTTACGTCGGCTTCTAATCTTGTTGGATTCTTCTTCTGTTTTATGCGTATTCGGAGTTATTTCAAGTTATATGCATATGTTAGCTCGTTTTTCATTTTTACAGGAAAATTTTAAAGTACGTTTTCGTACGATAATATATATTAATGAAAAATAGTTTTGTACACAACACAAGCGAGAAAATCGTAGTTCGTTGCGACCGAATCTTTTACACCCACCTTTAGCTTAGAAAAAATATATTCCTATATTTTTATTCACGCACACATAAGTATCCTATAGGATTGTCAATAGGGTAGGTGTGGCAACTGTTGACGTTGTTTATGGATAATGAACAAAAAAACCATTTCTTTCGCGCTTGAAAACATACATACTATGGGTTTATGTGGTAATATACATGTGTCCTGCAATAGGTTCAAACCAAGTTCAATATATCTTAATTTTTGCATCCGAGGGGATATCTTTCAAATAGATGGACAGACGGACAATATTTGATATTGATTAGGAAAATATACGTTTTATGCGGTCTCAGAAACTTGCTTGTATGCATTGAAAACTAGATTGTCCCCATGCTAATCGAAGACAGATTCGCTCATGAATATAATTACGATACTCGTGTAATAATAAATGAAATGAGGGCAGACTGAATGCAAGCAAATCAATGCTGAGTTTTAAGAGTAGTGGTAAACATTAAGCTGTACAATCAATTTAGTACACTCCCGAGTTTTAGGACGGTGCTAATCTGACCAGTCAGCTACAAAACCACAACTTTAAAAGAGTGCACGCAAATCAACCTCTTTTCGAAGTTCATCGATAGCTTTGAATCAATATGTTTTTAATTTTCAATTTTCAATTCTCGGACTTGAAATTTTTTCACAGCCAAAAGCCTGGCAGATACCTATGAATAAAGTCGTTTTAAAATTTACTACCGATCAAAAATGTGCAAAGGTTTTTCGACAATGATGTATATCATGAATAATCGTTTCTTTTTTCCTAAGTTATTTTAATTCTTTAAACGAAAGAAAAAAGTTTTTTCAAGTAACGCTTTATGTGTTTTCGCTTTTCAGCGCCGCGAAGAATTACTTACCTAAATAGGTGCTGTTTGTCAAAACCCAAAAAATTTTTAATGGATCCACCATAACTACAACACCTGCAACTCGCGCAACGACTACGATAACGGCAACGGCAACAATGTTGTTAATGTTAAACCATGAATTTAATTGTTTTTTCGTTAATTTCGGTCGCTGTTGCGGTTTTTCTTCTGGTTGTATTTGAAGCGATGTTTGTCGGTGGTTTCGTTGCGGCACTACTGAGAGGAGTAATGAGTTAAGTAGAAGGAAAACGAAAAACGTACAACAGCACATGAAACAGCTTTTAGTGAGAAATGCCTACTGAAAAATGCACAAAACAGGGGTAAGCCTTAGAACAGGATGTGTAGCGAATGCAAATGTTTTAAGTGCAGCAGCATTAAGCACTTTTCGAATTTATTTTTTCTTCTTTTTTTCTTTTCCTTCTTCTTCTTCTTCTCCTTTTCCTTTTCACTGTTTCTCTGGTTGCGCAAATTCGTTTTATATAATATCGGGAGCCTTAAAAAATGCAAACAATTATTTTTTTTTTTTTGGGTTACACTATGAAGCGTTGACGTGACTTGAAAACTTATTGCTTGTTGTTAAACATATTCAAGAAAAAGAAATATATATATTAAATTTGATTGCAGTTGATATTATTATTCTTCTGAAGTTGCTAACTTTGGTCAACTGTCAACTTATTCGAGTCTGATGATTACAAGACGGGCTTCGTTGCAAGTAATGATAATTGAATTGTTTGAGTTTTATTGGTATGCAGGCAAATGTATTTAACATAGTCCAATATTTTGTTTACAATTTTTCGGTTCTTTCTTGATTTTCCTTTAATGAAAAGTTTTACTATATTTTTTTACTTAGTTATAAACTTCATCATTAGATTTTTAAAAGAAAAGTTATTTGATATTGTTTTCGAAACTTGAATCGCATCTGCCTTAAGACTGCTTTCTTTCTTTTAATTGTTGACATTTCATTTTAATTATATTACTGTGAAGTTTTATTTGCAATATTTTTTGTAATATGTAAACTTTGTTGCTCTTTGTTGCATTTTAGCTATTATTTACTTTGTTTTCCTAAAATTTAAGAAAATATAAATTTGAATTCTTGAAACCTAAGAAAATCATAGCTTGGTTTATTTAAGTGAAATAATTACAAAAGAAAAGACACTCGTCAGCATTTTATATTTATTTGTTTGAAGATTTTGCTACTATTTCTATTTATATTAATTTATCTCAAGGTCAAAGTTAGGTCATTCACTTCCAAGATCCTTTTATTAACTATTTTGATATTGTGCTTTGTAAGTTACATCAAACATGGAAACTTTTTCCTCATTTACAATTAATGAAATGCTTTAATTATACTTTTTAAGGGCAGTTTGCTCCTTCAACCAACTAACTGCAGCCTCATAAAAGTAGCTTGTTGTAGACGTTTGAATGCATTGAAAAATGACGTTTAGAAGAGAGATGTAACTGACTACACTTAGCACTCGAGCCTTGGCCAACTTTCTACCCACCCATGCACACGTCTGCTCCTATCTCTACTCTCTTGTGTGATTTAACATAAGTGTATATAATACATATGTGTACACAATATGTTACTTCCGTATGGGATAACGTGAGAAAGTTTTCCGGCCTTAACCACAACCGCAAGGTCTATTGCATCACTATCAATAATCCCGATAATGTACATATTACATGTAGAACTGACAGAGCTGACGGCGTCTGTCGTAAGCATTGATTTCTTGAATTTCAGAACATCAATTTCCAGCTGTCTTCTATCTCAAGTAAACCGTCTTGCAACCCCTGCTTTTCACTGCTGAGAGCTCATTGGCAACAACACTTGAAACTGAGCAAAATCTGTCCATATTGGAATTAAATTTTGATTTAATTACTCTAAAAACTGAAACCTTTCGATTCGAAGAAGATCATATTTTTCATTCTATTTTTAAAAAGTTTCTATAGTTCCTGCATTTTTGTATTTCCTAATCTTATAGCAGAAGTTTCAACATATCAATTCAAAAAAACTTGGTATATGTATTTGGTATAAAACTGAATTCAAACGTTATCGCCCCATCTCTTTAAACGCGTTGTAATGTACACTTGTCTTTCGTGATTTCTCGTTTTTCTTTAACTTCTTTAGAAACCGAGTTCGTACCACTCAATTGTGTTGTTGGAGTTAGCAAAGCTCTTACGTACACATTGTTTTCAGGAATTTATATTTAAAGTGCTTGTGGTTTCGTCCGTTTTTATATTACCGTTCAACTCTTTTGACTCGAATGACTTTATTCTGCCTACCTATCCTTTTAGAAGCGCTTTTACCTAACTTCATCGTGACATTTTTGTGTTAATCCCTTTTTCCGCTGAACGTTCTACTAATCCCTGCCCATCTTTTCGCTGCAAGAGATAGGTAAGACGTTTTGATTGTGCATTTGCCTTGTCCTTTCTTAGGAATGGGATATACGTAGGAATGGAGTATACGTTATGAAAGTTTCACGAATTTTGATATATATAACAAAAGATGACAATTTCTGTGTAACAAAACTTCGTGTTGCTGGGGAACAGTGAAACATAATAAATTTTCTCCTAGTGACTGCCTTAGGAGCTGCAAAATTCAACGTTGCGACATTTCGAAGCTAATTCGTTTACACCTCATTCATCTGCATTACATTAATGAAAATATATCCCCTATACGCTGCCTTTGCGATGAAAATGATAAATTTGGGCGTCCTTGCCGCCTGTGACTAGCCACTCTCTATTTTTAATCCTTTAATGCTTTTAAATCAATCGATATCTGCCGATAGTAGCCGAAGGCGAGGAATCTCGACTAGCAAGTCAGTGGTCGTGGGTTCGAATCTCAAGTGCGGTAGAGTTTTTAATAAAAGCCGATAGCCTTAGATGCTAGTGCTTTTGAGAGTTTAGTCTTAGAATTTATTTCTCTGGCGAAATTAATAATAACAATAATAATAAATCAATCGAAGCTCTTACATCACATCTAACTATACATGAAATTGTAAACTCTCTACCTATGCATTTCTTCTTATGTATATATATATACATCAATTAATTACCAATACTGTCTAATTTTAAGAAGCCTAAAATGTATTGTAGCGGTAGCCTTATGTCTCCATTGCACGTTTATGGTTTTGTTTACAAGTAAATAAAAAAATAATAATTTACCATTAACATGGCCAAACACAATTTAATCCGCGTGTAGTTGTCCTTAAGGAGTGACATTACTCATTCAAGTGAGCAGTACTTCCGCCTGCACCCATCTAAGCGTACGAAGGCTAATGTCTGCGAATAGATAAAGATGGGCACGCTAGTACAGTAAACCAGCTTACATTTAAAAAGGAAGTAAAAGATATCGCGTTTAACATAAGTTCGTCGCTTCGGTATTATTTAATTCCGTACATTTTCTGGGTTGCCTGTACTACATATCTTCGCGAGAAATCTTCGATGAAATCTAGGTCTACGACAAGGATCAACATTTTAATTGTTAGGACATCGTGGCGGAATTAAGCTTCAAATCAGATCAGAAAACTACTTTTGAACTCTTCGCGTAAGGATGGATACAGAAAGAATCTCGATATTCAAGTACCGCAGGAATTAACGGTGAGAAATCGAATGGGCCGAATTTCCATCTACGAAGCGCTACCGAAAAATGCCGAATTACTTTTGCGTAATTGAAAATGTATCCCATGCGCTCGAAACACGTATAAGGTAATCTACCGCAAACGGGATGAAGCGGTGCCCATAGCTAAGTCTGCTTAATGACTAGCAAACCGTACTTAATTAAAAGCCTGTTATACAACAATAGCTATTACAAGAGTGAGTTAGAGCCAAGTAAATATTCCGACCACTATCCATATTTATAACGTGCACTACATGTTGTAGGGAGCATATTAGCTTTGTGCTGGTTTATGTAACACTTAGAAGGATTTAGGTTAAATCTACTTCCTTTTATACCGATCGGTCCAGTGTTATTCCAATTTCGAGTTAACGTTGTCTGTCCATATGTCCATCGGTCTAATATCTATCCATGCAGGTTATGTTCAACCCACCGTGGACATATCTTACTGTAGCCGCCAAATAACGCCTTATTTTGAACAAAACGTTTCGTAAACAATTTGAAATTTTTAACATGTGTGAACATAGCTCGCTAACTAATATATAATGGGTGAATTTTTTGGACCTGCTTAAATACAACGCCCACCGATAGAAACTAAGCCTTCATACTTCAAAGGAATGCATCGTTCTTGAGAATAATTTGACATTTGGCCGTAAAGGTATAATTTTTGAATTCCACTTCATATAAGGGTTTTCTCACCAAAACTAATTTTTATGGCAGAACAGAGTATAATTTTTAATAAGAGCAGTGAGATGCTTGAGGAGAAATTGAATTTTTCTCTAATTTACAAAATCGTGCAAAAGTTCCTTTGGAAAGCATGCCTTTGCATGGGAATTGAGTATAATTATCGCTTTTGCATCGCCCATATTAAGCAAAGTGGCATAGTGGTGCATTAGTGCCCAGCCTTCCTACTGCTTTTTTGCAATTTACTAGAGATGAACTTACCTCCTGCTAAACTCTGATAAAACGATTAAGCGAGATGTTTAAGTTTTTTTTATTACGCGAATTCATTTAATTATTTAATTAACAGCATTTGCTTCCAAATATTTTAATTACAAGAAGCCTCTCTTCAACTTCCATTAAAGATTGCAGCGAATTTTATATTTTCAAGCAGCAATGAAGAATATAAAGTTCTTACGAGATGATGTAAATTGTAATTTAAAAATTTTGCCACACTCAAGCCAAGTTTTAAACTTTGCTCCGCATGGAATTTTTCAATTTTTTCTTCCTCTTTACTATACACTGTACGTATATATGTACTATGCATAGACTAAAACATGTGTAAACATAACAGCAAGGGCACATACAGCAGGACCATTAAATTGTTGGTATGTGGGTTTAGATAATTCGAATGACTTTATTTTACGCAGATAAAAACCTATAAAAAAAAAAAAGAAAGAAGAGGAAACACAATGACCCTGCTTTTCAACTATACGAACCACAGAGAAAAGTACATGAAAGTAGAAAAAGATATGCGAAATGCGAAAACGTTATCAACCCACAAGCAAAAACAGCAAATCTGCTAAATTTACGGCAATAACTGTTTTATAGTTGTCAACTTTTCGTGAAACTTTTGGGATCTCAAAGGGAAGGCAACAAATGGAAAAGATATAAAATATTTGAAAAACTTCTCCTCTCGAAAGTATATGAAATTTTTACTAAGCAATATTTTTCAAAGCTATGATTTTCATATAATTTTTTCACAGAATTACTTAAACGAAAAAAAAAAAACCAAAATTGTTGTTGGTCTTTGCGTTAAGAAATGTGTGTCGGGACCCTCGTGTAACGTTACCAACGCATAACAAGTAAGAAAATTAAATTCGGTCGCTATCGAATATATTCTAGCCGTCACCGTTTACCCCAAAAGAAATACAAAAGAGGTAGACGAACATTATTCTCATGTTCTTTAGTATTACGTGGGCGCAGTTGATTTCTTCTGTTTTGAAAATAACAGTTTTTGTCGTAGAGGGATATAGGCGTTGTAGGCTTGTTTTTTGAAAAGTTTAGGTCAATTGCAAATTCTTTTGCAAATTTTTAGAGGATATCTTCATTTTCGCTAACGGGAGATGGTTTACCACAAATACTAGAAAGTTACCGCTTCACCCTTTTACGGTAATCGGGGTATCCTCCCACATGTATTTGAAAATCAATTCAGAGCTACACACTCTTTACTTTTCTTAATGTAATTACGCAAGACTCAAGCATTAACGAATTTCCCGAACTGTGTTCCGAGATTTCAAAGGAATGGAAAGATGGCTAAAAGAATTTTTTTTGTATAATCCAGTTTTTCATCAGAATATTTTAAATTTCAAAACATTTCATTGCAGTCAAAAACAAGTCGTTTATATAAAATTTTAACCTCCACTGAAAGTAAATTTTGGCGATGCCAAAGCAAAGTGTTTACGATCGAAAATTGCAAGAAATTGCTTGGTATTGAGTAAAGCTA